CTTGTCTGTTCCCCTTCCCCCAATTCCCCAGCATTGTTCCTATCCCCCAATACCCCAATAAAATCTTTATAAAAATAAAAAATAACAAAAAGTACAAGACATGCATAGAAACAGTAAAGTATGGTTCATACATAAGAAAAAAGCAATCAATAAAAACTGCCTCTGGGAACTCACAGACATGGGATTTATTTGAAGAATTAAAGTATGAACTAATGTCTCAGCAAATAGAGAAATCAGTAAGTACATCAAGATTATAAAAAAGAATCAAGTAGAAATTATTAACTGGAAAAACACAATAATTGAAGTGAAAAATTTACTGGAGGGGTTTAACAGAAGATTTGAGCTGTCAAAAGAAATAATTAATGATCTTAAAGAATGGCCCGATGAGGTTTTATAGTTTAAAGAACAACCAAAATAAATAATAAAGAAAAAATATGAACAGAGCCTATAAGACCTGTGGGGTACCATCAAGCATAACAACATATCCATAATGTGAGTACCACAAGAAGAAGAGAGAGAAGAGTAGAAGAAATGACGGCTGAACATTTCCATGGCTGTCTCAACAAAATCGAATCTCTTGTATGTGTGTACAAAAGGATGTTTCCAATAATTAGGACCAAGAGCTGTCCACTAAAATCCTAGAACTGACTACATAATACATAATAACCTCCCAGGTTTTCTTCAGACTGATCCCTTCTATTGATAGTATGTATAACAAGAAAACATTTATATTTGAAATTATGGCACAAATATCCACACAGGGTATTTAACAGGGAATAATTATTATGAAGCTTTTTTGTCATCTCTGCAGATGTGGCACCAATCTCATTAAACTAGCTTTGTTGGAGAACAGCGTTCCAAAGTGCAGAAGGCATTATAAAAGTTAGGGAAACTCAAAGTGGTGGCTTTGTGCAGGGTTACGTGGATATATATAGCACTTATCAGGATACATCAAACATATTTCATGTATTTGTCTCTCCCATTAGACACCGAAATTTTTATTCATCTCTGTATCCCAAGAGCCAGGGATAATAGAAGACATATAATAAATATTTTATGTATGTATAAGTTAATGAATGAATGCATGAATATAACTGCTAGTCCAGTAAGAAGAGATAGAAAAAGGTGATTCCTCCACTTTTTATTTAAAAGAGGCCAATTTTAGTGTCAATCTGGCAGGAAGAGTTACTATTATTGACTAACTTCAGATATACTTGTATTCTCCTTTGCTTTCCATGTATATCAAATTTTAAAAATGTAGAGAATGTACAGATAACACAGCTCAAGGATTAACAGTGCTAAAACATACCATGTGCTCAGCACATATCTGGTCGTTAACTGGCAGGGTAGGTTTAAGGGAGAAATAACTAGTGATTTGCTTTAGTAACTTGGATTTCTTTACTGATCGAATCATGCCTTGTCATTCCCTTCAGTGTTCATTTTAAAACAGCGAAGGAGCTCAAACACACTAAGCAGGCCACAGCTCATTTTATGACACCATGCTGACACAACTAAAATCTGTATTTTTCTATTTTTGTTAAAAAGAGGTTGAGGAGGAGGTTTGTAGGAAGGCAAAACATAAAGGCTGAAGCTTAGGGAAAAATAAACTTGCAGCCATGTTGAATGTTTTAAAAACAAGAAAAAGTTACATAGGCAAGAATTTTAAATTTCTCAAAATAGGTTTAAAAGACCATGTGACTTGAAGAGAAATAATACCATTTAACTCTTTTGCTGTGACGTTTGGATATGTTTTCCTGTGGCTTGCACTATCAGCAATGAAGATGTTTTGTGTAACATTTTGTGTAACATTTTGTGTAACATTTTGTGTAACATTTTGTAATAAATTTTTTTATGTCATCAATGCCATTAGATTCTAATTTATCTATACTTAAATCTAATTGANCTTCCTGTATTAGTCCAGCATTCCTATAGAGTTGTACATTTTAAAACATTATAAACAAGTACTTTTACATCTTATAAAATGAGTCATAACAGTTGAGTGTAGCCTATAAAGAGTATAGTACTTCATACTACCACTTAAACTTTTTCATGTCTTCTTGAGTCTCTCCAGTGGGATTCCACTGAATGAAGAATTCATAACAAAACTTCAACTTCCCTCAGGGGTCTTACAACCCCTTGAGCACCCTGCGGGAAGCTAGGTCACCATCTCTTGTAAGGTGTTCTCCATTCCAACCATTCCCATAGCAAGTTTATTTTTCTATTATAGACCTTCATATTAAATTCCTAAGTGAACCCTCTGCAACTAGACTGAGACAACTACTTGACTTGGAGCTGATGGGTCCTGGAAAAACACACTGTTCCCCAATAAAATTTTTAAAAAATTAAAAATTAAAAAAATAAAATCCTAAGTGAAATAGCTCAGTCTTGAGTTGCTTCTATTCTGATAAAAAATATTACATATATTGTATTGATTTATTTGAATCCTTAATGAATAACATGAAATTGACTTACTGTTCCTGAATTAATATATTTTTTCTTCTTTCCTTTCTTTTTGGGATTCACCACCTTAAAAAGCAGATGAAACTATTACAGTGTGTTAGGCTTTATAACAAATTTTTTAAAAATGTGTAGTTCAACCTACTGCCTTTGCTTCTTATGTATCTATTCATTTACAAATTCCTTTAGTATGACTCCTGCACAGTCATTTAACCAAAACTTCTCTGCAAGTTGCTAGTGATGATCGTCTTAAAGTTTTTTCTCAATAATGTTCTCAATCACCTTATTCATTGATTACCCTTACCCATCTGCATCCTCTTGATGTGAGAGAGACATTTAATACCCAGGGTTATTAATAATAATAATTGCTCTGTAGGAAAAAGTATAAGTGGTGAAAGAAAACTGTATTCAAAAGCCATATTTTTTATTAGGTCAAATCCACTAACCTAGCAAATCACACATTAACTCTATTTCTTTATACTGGTAGTAATTTCCACCAGACACCTAGGCTGCATAATAATAGGTGAGGGTCTGGTTTGTGGGCATAAGACTAAAATTTTGACAGCTTATTCCAAGAGGAGATATTACTGTATTCCTACTTGTACAAGATAGTGCAGAATATACGGAATATGGAAATAAGTAAGACCTGTCAATCTAATAGAATAAATAAAACACATAAGTGACTTAAGAGAGGATCTTTCAGCATATCTCAGCCCAAAATATAGAGGAAGCATTTTGACAGGAAAAGAAAAAGAATTTCTGAATAAGTAGTATTTGAACTATAATTTATTAATTTAAACTAGGGCTCCCATGAAAAGGAATAGTCAAATACAACATTCTCAAAAGAGGAAAAAGTAATTGGACACGGTTGGCTGGAGCAGGGAGCAAATACGTAGAGATTGAGGGAATCTGAAGGCCTGCAGGCATTGGAGGCAGCAGGGGACACTGCCATCGGCCCTCTTGGTGATCCTGAAAGGGCCCTATACTAGGGTCCAGCCCCCTCCCAGTGGCAGTCCACCAACAGTGCTGTGGGTCCAGGCTTCACTGGGAAATAACCCTGTCTGTTCCAGCCCCACTCAGCCAACAGTTTCTGAGCAATTTTGCTGGCACAGGGACCCATCAGGAAACACTAATGTCTGTACCTCAGGAGATCCTGAAATGTCCCTATATTTGGCTCCAACCCCTCCAGCCCTGGTAGAAAGCAATCCACCCACCCAGGGACCTAGTGGGAGACACGCCCATCTGTGCCTCCAGACCCAGGTCTATAGACCTCAGCCTTGGCTATGGAGCCTGAAACAGCCATGGGGCTCAGTTCCTCTTCGGCAAGGTCCAGGGCCATACCTGCGCCCTCAGGGAGGAGCCCTCTCAGGGGCCTAGCTGGAGCCACAACTTCCTGCACACCTAGTGACAGGGCAGGTGCCTAAAGACCCAACCGTGCACCCTAAAGAGGAAACTTGGCCCTGTGCCACCCTATTTGACCAAGGTACTGGAGTCATCTCTTCCACCCATGGGCAGAATCCACACCTGACCGAGTCCCTGGTAATAAGCAGGTNAAATTTAGAAAATCTAGTTAAATGCCATCATTTTACAGGTGAACTATAGAACTACAGAGACTCATGAACTATAGGAAACTGAAAGTTAGATACATGAAATGATTTGCCTGTCATTATATAGCATGAGAAGTGTCATGATAAAGCCAGATCTCCTCACAATATCATTAATAAAAATCAGGATTTTAATTTTTTGCCTGGTTGTTACAATAAGACCTTAAGAACAAAGACACACAATACATTCATTATTTTGCTTGCTGATTTGCATTTCATTATCTAAAGGGACAATATACTAATAACACTATATTATAAATATTAAAAATAATGAATAGGTAAATGTGTACTTGTAATATATTTAAATGGTATATATTTATTACATACATCTCCACATAAAAATACATTATATGTAAATAATATTTAATGTCCTTTTTTAGGTATGGTTATAATATAAAAATTAATATAAGTCCAGTTAGATTAATTATGTAGTGAAATTCAAACTATTTCTCCAGTCCCAATTTGCAAATCAAAAATGGGTTCTCATAAGTCATGAGAAGTCAGGATTGGAATAAAGTGTATTTCATAGACTGGGTCTCCATTTATATAGATTTCTGGCAAAAAAATGGTCACTAGTATTTCTTCCAGCACAGGCAGTGCTAAAAGTAGGAAACATGGAAACCAAAAAAAAAAGAAAAGAAAAAATATGACAGTGTTATATAGTCAAGGCTGTCATTGCTCTAGGTATTGTAGAAAGCCATTTGCTCTTATTAGCCCTCAGGATCCTCAAAGGAGAATGTGAACAATCAATAAAAGTGATCTATTGGTAACAGATTCTGAAAATGTTGCTTATTGATAGACACATTCAAATGTTACGAGGTTTGCACTGCTGACAAACATATTGGGTATTTCATTCATACATACATACACATATACACATGGGTTTCACATACTCACAAAGCAAATAAAATTTTTTTTTAACATTTTAAAACGTTAAATCATTATTTCAACAGGAAAATTACACCTAGATATAGCATTGTTTTTTAAGTTTATAAAGGGTATGTAAGGGATATCCATTGTATTACTATCTATTTTTATCAGCTATTATTTACAGCTACTAAGAAGTTTATTTATACAAGAACGTATTTTTATAACAAATTCAAATTTCTATTTTTCCATCTTCTAAAGATAAGAATATGCACAGACATTGTAATACTAAGGAAATTTGGCAATCATTTTTTCTACTCAGTTGTTTTCCTTTAACTTTATTAAAACAATGACCATAACTTCTGAGTCTGTATAACTAGGTGGCAGGTTGCAGTATGTCCATGTATAGCAAAAATTCTCCCCTTAGGCAACTATCATTTTTGTTTTGCTTCCTCAACTAACAGCAAACAGGGCAAGCTCTCTGGGTTTTTTTGTTTTGTTTTGTTTTGTTTTGTTTTTGGAAACTACCTTTGTTCCTCTGGCCCCCTCATTCTCTCGTCCCTTCTGCCTCATGACATTCAATCAGTGAATCAATATTGGGGGAAAAAAAATTGTTGAAGAGATTTACATAAGTTTGTCTCTGGCTGCTCTTATTTGTCATGAAGTTACTAAACATTAAAATTTGCCTGCCACCATTTTTTATATATTGTAAATAGAAGGTAGCAGCAAATAAATTAGAAAATGTGGCTATTTTACAGTGTATGGTAACAAATGATTGCAATCTCTGGGGATGTTTGGTTATGTAAAAAATAAGGACAATGAGGTTAAAAATAGGAACAACTTGGGAAAACCTCCTTATTTATCAAGGTNCATAAAATGTATCGTATGCTCCAGGAAAAGCTTAAACAAACAAAAGAAGTTCTAAAAATTAGATTTTGTTTCACAGAATATTTGCATAAAAATTGGATCTTGACTAAATCAGAATGCATCTGTCTCATCTGCCTCATCTGCTAACTATGCACCAAAATCCATAAACCAGCCGACTGCAGCTAAACACAGTGTTTTATTGAGACAGTGAATGAAAGTAACAAGCTAACAATAAAGGTTCACAATCAAGGTTATATTTTCATGTAAATATCTACCTCAATAACCACTAAAGTAATGGAAGCCTAGAATATCCAACACTAAACATTAGGCCTAGAAAGGAGTTCTTTTGAACAGGAAGATATGAAAGGACTATGAAAACAGTTTTGTTTAGTATTTAAATGTGTTTATTCTTAATTCTGCATAATTTTTACTTGGATTCATGTGAAAACAAATAACATTTTTATAATTTTCTATTATTTTTTTGTGAGATGAAACAAAAAAAAAACAGTTGAAATTTTAAAGGGCAATTCAAAAGTTTATTTCTAAGGGTTTAATCACAAACTGTTAGTCCTACATATTCCACATCATTCACCTGTTTTGCCCCCTTTATTTTCTCATGCTCCCACACATCCAGTGTAAGACAAATGGTTTATAAAAATGATTTAGAGAACAAGATGAATATAGGAAAACCTCAACTAACTTTACTTTAAATGGCCCAGAGTTATCCAGAGTACCAATTTAAGTTATTCACATTTTATATGATGATTTTCACCTTTTTAAAAGACCTCTAGCTTTACTTGTCAGTTAAGATTCAGCACAAGCAAAACTCAACAATAGTTTCTCCTAAATGAGAAAGCATATATGTTGAGTAGGTCCCTGAACTGATGCCAAGGAAATTAGCAACAATTATGCTAATCCAAGTTAACAACAAAACAATCCACAAATACCAGTACCAATGCTGATATCTTGGTTTTTTTAAGTTAAAAGTGAGTAGTTACTATGATTTATTATAATATAAAACTGAACTCAACACTTTGTTCCAAAAGCCTCTGAAATATCATACTTATTTGGAAATATGGTGGATCATCTCTTCAAAAAAGCTAACCTTGATAATTCCACTAATCCTCAAAGGTGTCAATATAGCCTCCAAAACACTACTTTGGATTGCTTTATTGATTGAATCCCAAAGTATTAGTTTATTTTACTGCTGTTCTTCAGTGTAATCACTGGCCAAAAGGCAAGGCCAGATGGCTAACTTAAAAAGAGTCTTTTTCGATGTGTGCTGAAGAAGGGTAGTGCCAAAGACCAAGATGTGAATATTGGGGAAGTTTAGCAGAGGTGTTGACAGCACTGAAGGATGTAGCTGCAAGCTAGCTACCTTTGTGTCTTCTGTTCTCACTTGAAAATATTCAGTCTTTTTTGGTGNTTTTGTGTAACATTTTGTGTAACATTTTGTGTAACATTTTGTAATAAATTTTTTTATGTCATCAATGCCATTAGATTCTAATTTATCTATACTTAAATCTAATTGACACCATTTAGAATGTTTGAGTATTTTTTGCTAAAATTCAATATGATGGTAAGGTTATTACCGTATAATAAAGGTTTAAAATAAAGATAATATCATTTATGTACAAAGCAGCTCAAAATGTTATTAAATGCATCAAACAGTCTAAATATCAACTTTTTTATTTTTTGTGGATTTTTGACACATTTTGAAAAAAATACTTGAAATCAACTCACAGTGAAAGCATTTAATCTCAGAAATAAGTCTACTCCATAAATTTAAAGACTTACATATATTGGTACTCAGTTAACCTTTGACAATTATCCTTTGCAAAATCTATACTTTTAAAGCACAAATGTACTTATTCCAGAGGGAAATAATAAAATAAAATTCCTCTTACCTCATATACGTTGAATTGTGATTGCCCTCTAGAAAGTTCCCTATAGCTTGTTGTAAATTCTCCAATGAAATCATGACTAAAATTAAGGGGCAAAATATACAGTATTAGTTTTTACACATTTGTCTATTATTTTTTAAGCTTTTTACAAATGTATAGTTTAAACACAAAAAAGGCTTGTTATTGTTATGAACATAATTTATATTTTAAGAGACTGATACATAATTTCATTGTTCTTTAACCCAAAGTTATGTATATTCAAAAATTACATTTTGTTAGTATTCAAATATTTAATTTATCCCACCAATGTTAATATTTCAAACAAATCTATTAGTTTTAACAACTCATCTGTCCAAAACAGTTTATCTTCTATGCTACCCAAATGACTATTTATTAGGATGAAAGTTTAAGACACTCAAAAATTTATTATTAACTATATCAATAATCACAAATATAATATACAAAGTCAGCAAACTTTCCTATGATCAGGATGTAATGGGACATTATATTTAAAAGGGTATCCCATGTTAACATGGATAATAGTCACCAAGCCTTATTTTCAATAATGATAATTTAAAAGTACATTGCTAATACCAACATGGTTATTCTGAATTTCTTCACCTTTTTAAAGCAATCCTCACTGCCTTCTCTGAAAGCAGACCCTCTAAAGATGTCTTCTCAGTTTAGGTGTGGAGGAATAAGGATTGAGTCAGCATGTGTTAATTCTCACTGTAAAATGCTTATCAGCGTGATTACTGAGGCTGACCTATGCAACTGTAAAACATGTTAGGCATTCGGCCGTGCAGAGGGGACTTATATTCCACTACTCTGTGCTAATTTAATGGTCAATACTAGGTTCAACACACACTGCTGAGAAATAAGGTCAAAATGCTGGTATTCAGTGCAATGGTGAAGTGTAACGCGTCAGAGGAAAAAGGTAAAGATTATAGGAGATAAAGTAGTATAACAAATATAAGGGATGTTGCTGCTATTTTTATCGTAGTATTTAAGGCTGGCCCATTTGCTTTGCACAAGGAAGGTGTTCATTACCATAAAATACAACATGTCCCCAAACCCCCATGCAGGTTTAACGCTCAGTTGTGAATCACTATAATCTGTAAACCTCCCATACATCTGATGACCAGTGAGTGACAAGCCATAAAGGAGTTGTGTCTAGCCAACCAAAATATTGATTTCTAAAGATGGGATTTGGAAGAAAAAACTAGCTATCATTTAATTTTATTACAGTTTTTGCAATAAGAAGTGGTTATTATTATTATTATTATTATTATTATTATTATTATTATTTAAAATATAGCTCATTTAGATATCCAGCTTCCCAGTTCTCCATTTTCTCAATGATCTTGTACATATATCACAGTATTCCATATGGGACATTCCTCTTTACACCAGTATCACCTTGACCTCATCTGGAACTAATTTTCAGGAATAGATCTAAACACATAAAAATGGTGAAAGGAAAAGGTAATTGAAGACCGTGATCAATATATTTGTATTTATGAGCCCAAACCCCTAGCACTCACTCCAAGTTACACAAGGAAAATTATAAAACAGTACTTTAGTTCTACACATTTTTTGTAAATAATTCTCTTTGACCTTCAGAAGTGAAAGCTAATACTAGAGATATTTTTCCTGAAGATCTTAAAACCTCCTGTGTTATGGAGATTCTGTTTAGAATCTATCCTCATCCATTGCTATGCATGTTTCTGATCTTAAGTAATAATCATTGAGATAAATGTTCTATTATAGCACTTCAAACATAATGCTTTGATATTGATAAGTATGGACAAGCCTTATAGAACCAGAGCTCACCATACTAGTGGTGGGAATCTAATATAGAGTTCTTTAAAAAACGTTTGGATCATTCAAGCCCTTCTGGCAGTTTTCTGATTGTGCAAATCCTACCCCCATTTGGTTAATTGTTTAAATTCAACATTCAGTTATTACTGTCAACATTAAATTCCTTCCACTCAACACTAATCAAAAACTTGGTAGAGGAAGGGCAGTACATGGGGGGAGGGGGTTGTTATATGTGAGGGTGAAAAGGATAACTATTGCATTGGTCTGTATACACCTGAAACTAACAATAAAAAAANGATATTTGGGGTAAGTTAGCATTAGTTCTGGTGACAGCACATATGTGAATTTCCTCTGACTTTGAAATGGACAGCTCTGAAAAAATCATTTGAAAAAGAACATAAGCTGGCAATGACATCACACTCTTAAAGGCGATAACTGGAAATATCTAGACTTTTCAAGCATGCATTTTACATGTACAAAAGTTAGAATTAAGCATTAACCAAAACAATGTTAATGAGTGTTAATCTTTGTAAAACTTTCTTTTCTCAATCTGCTTAGATTAGTTTATATATGATAATGTTCTATATGAGTGGATATATAGAAGGCAGAATGGCTTTATTTTTATTAGATTTAGCCCCATTCAGCACAGCACCCCGTTCACCCATTTAGCTCTCCATTGATTTGATAAAAGCAAAACACTTGGGTACCACAACTAGAAGCACTATAAAAAATCCTAGACATGTATATTAAGTTTGAAAATAAGAAATGTGATTAGGAAAAAGAAAACCTTATGGCATTGCATGTTCTAGCAAGGTGTGCTCCCTGAGGCAACATATCCAATATAATGTCACCAATTTTATAAAACTAAAGCAAATATTTAATGGCATCCTTGTACTGCTGCACGTATTTTTTAGAAAAAAAGATCCTTATGGGGTTTGTTGATTACAGGACTTAATGATATTCAACTCACCTTTAAAATGAACACTATTACGAAGCCCACTTTAGCCTTTAAAATTAGCCTATAACAGGTAGACGGCTCTTCCTTCCCCAAATCCCTTCCCTCCCCAACACTTTTTGTACTTCTGTTAATGTACTTCTGTTAAATGGGATATAAACCTTTTNTTTCCCCTTTGCTTCAGTTTCCTCACAGAGTTGGGTTCACCATGTCTTATTATATGCTTTGTGTAAGTTGCCTTGGATCCTTTTAAGAATAAGACAGATCATAAATAAATAAATAAATAAATAAATAAATAAATAATAAAAATACTTGCCCCCCATTTTGAATCTTGTTCAAGATGGTTATTTTGAATGAAACAGTGAATTTTCATATCTTACAAATGAAATGCTATTCTTGTGTTGTAGAAGAGAAAATGTATTAAGCAAATCACAAATTGCTTTTCAGCCTCCAAGGCAATATTTCTGTGAGATTTAAAAAAAAAATCATTGTATCTATCCAGAGAAGTCGATGATCAAGAAATGAGAATTTGCTAAAAAGTCATTAACATAAGGTAATAAGTGGAGAAAGCAATAAAATCGCCAAGCCTAAATACAAGGTGCTTTGTCTCCAGAATAAATCAGAAGAATCTGGGTGGATAAGTGGATAGATTCTTAGGTCAATTTTATTATAGATCTCTTAGAATATTGGAAATTTTTATAGTTTCCTTTGTAACCTTTTCTACTTCAAAAAGTGTGTATCAAATTATAAATACTTTAAAGAAAGTATTAAACATAGTTTTCACTGATATATCCCTATAGTTATCTTTTTCCCTATAATCAATTATTCCTAGATTTTACTAAGATTAAAAGGAAGAAAATTTAATTTGCTTTAATATTTATATCTGTTCACGAATTTCAATAATATTGAAACAATTTTCACTATGCAAAGAAGTATGATGAAGACGTTCATAATAAATCACAACAAACAATTTCCTTGTGATTCAATAATACTGTTTTGCTATTTCCTGTTAACTTAATTGTAACTAAATAATTATTCTATGTTGTAAGTCTCAAGCTCTCTGACTGCATTTACAAAATAAAGTTTACTCCAGAGCTATTTATCTAATTTGTGTCTGTTTACATCTCCAATTTGTTCCACAGGCTCCTTTTTATAATGTGTGTGTGTGACTAAAAACCTGAAGAAATACATTAAAACATATTTAAAGCAAATTGATTAGTACTATAGCTAGTACTTTGGCTCCAAAAAGTCTTGTTTGAGTAAAATGATTTAATTGTTAAATAAAATCTCTATATTACAATCATTACTGTGCTCTATTAACAGTGAAAACAATGGGTATTACGTGTATTCATATTTATATCTGAAACCTGTAGGACAATCCCTGTTTAACAAATGGTCCATCCTCCCCTACTTCTGGCATCTTCTCCTGCATCACCTTTCTTTTATTCTACAGCTTAGCTATCGAGTCCTCCAAAAAGCTTTTCCTACATCATGCCCTTCCTCTTGGCTCTCAAAGAACCCCAATGTCTCTCTACCATTACACTTCCTGTATTGTATTATACCTGTTGTTTCCATATCTCACCTCTCAGACCTGATCATATATGAAGTTAAGAAAGGCGATAATTCATCTCAGTGTTCTCAGCACCTACCTCAATGCCTGGTACACAATGGGCACTGTTGAATGTTGCGACTGTACTCAAGTTAATATCACAGTCATGCAGTGACCTTTCCTTGGTGGTAGCATTAACAAATTTGCCTCACATCAATTACATTTAGTCAAAAAGAATGGCACAAGTGCCAATCATATCAACCACTGCTACTCTCCCTCTACCTCCTTAAATCAACTGTGAGTAATGCAGACAAGGGTTATTTTCCTACAGAAATATACCCACATAATCACACAAAATGCCTTTGGTTGGCTTTTCAGGGGATTTTCTTGCAGGCTACGCCTTGGGCAGGGTGGATGATGCTTATTTTCTTGACTGTCATTAAACTAGTTTTTCACATAATGCATACAAGTGGCAAGTATGTACTGAATCCATCTCATCCCTTTATCACCACGGGGCCTTCAGTGAGCCTGTCAACTTCTGGGTCTTATAACTTTACCTAAAATTGGTGGCAGTGCTTACTCACTGTTTCTAAAACAAACCCAGATTTCATTTGATATTTTCTGTGAAAGATGTTTAACTCCCTAAAAAAGACACTATTAAAATACATTTCTCTAATTATGAAGACTGACTCCAAAACCTATATGTGTAGTTCTAAAGAAGATCTAAACAACATAACTTGTTAAGATATAATGG